GTCTATTGGTGTAATTTTTAAGTGGAAAAGACTGCTCTGGACAACGCATTTCTCTTTTTAGTCAAAATACTGCTCAGTGCGTCATGATCTTATTACGTCATCGTACTTTGCATAACATTCATTGAGAGCCAATTGATTGTCGTTACTTCGGGAAATTGCGCTCACGAACGCCAGATATGAACGCATCAACAACTATATTGCTTTTACCTTGATTGCCGCATGACTTATTGAATGGCAGGATTTCAACGACGTTATTATGATGTCATGAATGCCAAGGTGGCGTTGAAATACTCTCCCCGATATACCTTTCTCCATTTTTGCGGGCGTTTAGCTCAGAAACTAGATTGTCTTAGGGTCTTAAAGGACAGGATTGTGGATAGCACCGAGAGGTCTTCAAGATGGCTATTTCTTTTCAAAACCCCATATAAATTTGGAGCTCTCCCTTTAACAAGACATTTCCAATTGCGTTATACCACAAAAGACCATTACTGAAAATCAATTCGAAATATAAGGTGATTCATGAGGCCAGATGTTTCAGTTCAACTCACTTATACAACTAGTTAGAGCGGCACACTTTCATTATGTCATCGAAGCCCACATCACTAACGAGACGTTGGTGTGTCAAAAGGTTCCGGCTCGGGTAGATTTAAAATAAGCAGTTTTTCTCAATGTCATAAGCCGTCAGCCATCGCAGCTTGAAGGCATCCTCCGAGCCTTTCGGGCTTACACGAGCAAAGTAAGCCATCTTGGGAGCCTCTCTGTCCTGGCCTTCCCCAGGCAAGTGTGGAACTCACCGGCCAAGGATCAGACGGCGTCCGGCTAAAAGTCAGACAATGTGTAAGACAGACAGACAGACAGACAGACACAGACATTGGCGCTCACCACTTACATCAGTGCATAGCTCCACCCCGCCGCCACACCTTCCTACCACAGCTGAATCTCCCTGTGTGTTTTCTAACGTCACGCGTAAATGGAAATGGCCCTTGATTTTCGTTTGATACAAACGAACCTTAAAAACAAAGGTTCCGGTGGGCTCTAAATAATCTACAAAAATTTCCTCCTGTCGGTCTGAAGGTTATTGGCGACTAACGGGGTCTCGAGCGGTCTGCTGTCTACGATAGTTTTGTGTCTCTTTCTACTGACATGATGTACGCTGCCTCAGTATAGATTGCTGTGATGTTGATTAGACTGAGCTCTGAATTCTGATCATTTATCTTCTTATGCCGCACAGTCAGCTTAAACTCTTCCCGCGACATCTTTCCCCAGTCTTCCGTAAGCCTCTTCCGTAAGTAGCGATTCGGCACTGTGTGCGGTGGGTGAAATGACTTTACTTATTATCTTTGAAATTCTTACTAACGACTGGTAGATGTGCAGTCCAAAAGCGGTACATGGTATCTTTTCACAAGGGCCATAACCAGAATATCTTAATAGGACCCGGCTGCCGCTTCCATAGCGGGATTGTCTTCCTACGAACGAAGAAGACTGCACCACGCATGCGTGGTGCAGGAGAGGACTGCATGCGTGGTGCAGGAGAAGACTGCATGCGTGGTGCAGGAGAGGACTGCATGCGTGGTGCAGGAGAAGACTGCATGCGTGGTGCATGAGAAGACGAAGGTCTTAAGTCTTTATCAGGTAAGACTGGCGTCTCCTTTGTTAGGTAAGAGTAACCTCTTACGGGGGGGGGGGGGGATGGGCTTCTCGTGCTGGCTACGCCTATGGCTGGCTACACCCCGAAACTCTGCGACGGGTCGGTTGAAATATTGCACCCAAGAGATTTCTAGGCGGCCCGGTTGGGCTTGTGGGGGACCCATTATCGGACCTAAGAGGTTTTGGCATTTCGGAGTTCGCCATTCCTCCAGTTTGAACGTAGTTGCCGCGTCCCTATCGGCCTGTGTCTTTTCGGTTGCGCTGCTATCGGCCTGGGCCTTTTCTGGGTATAAAATATATATTTTCAAACCTAATGTGCGTCATTTCCGAGTTAAACAAGACGTGGGTCCATCCCGGGTCTAAAAGGTTAGAGGTGCTTTTTTGGCACGTGAGATGCTTACTTTTTCATCCTAAAATGGATAGTTCCCGATTAATAAGGGTCATTTTGAGCCCATTTTGGCTCTAACGGACCTGAACCTCCGATGGGCCCTTCCTGACCGAAAACGAGTCCTTCCCGGGGCCGGGGGGCCTTTCTGGGTCTATAGGGGGATCTATCTGGGTCGATGAGGTGGGGAGGGGGGGGGGGCTTATCCTGATCGGAGATGGATCAGTTCCAGGCCTAAACTTACAAAGGCGTTTATTACCAGGAAATGGGTTCCTTTCATGTCTAAGATGGGTACATCCTAACCCCACACGTGCCCGGTGGCCGGTTGAATACCCTTCACCCTGGTGGGAGTCAATTTGAGCCCCTGAGATCCTGGAGAGCTAAGATAGCTAGAGACACAAAATTCGCAGGGTGAGTTGCCCTATATGTGAACTCACTTATGGCTGAATTTGAGTTTCCTGGGTCGCAACCTTGGGGTCGATTAAGGTCAAACAAGGTCAAACTCCAGATTGGCGTCCCAAAGTGTCCCCAGACTTCTTCATACAAGGCCGCGAACCTAAATACCTATTCTAAGCAAGAGGCCAAAGGATTTCAGTTAAGATCAGTAACGTTATTTAGCCCTTAAGAGGTCTAGATAACCCAAAACTACGACATTACTGCTATTTTGTCATTCAAACAAGCGTCAGGGAATACTCTTGGTGGTATGTTCCCAAAAACGAGATGTTGGCATCGGTCATTTAGGTCAGTAACCTGATCTGGGCTTAAAAAGGCTCATGGAACACGTCTGCGGCCGTCCCTGTCAATAAATTGAAGCTTTTGGAATGGAGTACAAGAAAGTACTTCATATAGCAGGCTCTAACATAAAAATAGGTTTTGTTAAAATAGAGTACAAAAACAGGCTGTTGTGCTTAGTTTTGTTCTCGGTCTGACATTCATACCTGATCCTAGTTCAATGAAATTGGTTTTGAGTCTAAATTGAGTTGGTGTATTGCCTGAGAAACTGTCTCAGATGTGCATAGCGTCATCTAGCTCTTCGTTGTCGCATCAGATGGAACGATTTCCTAAAAATGGCCTTCACTGAGAGCAACAGCCTGATTTTGACCTGCTATAGATCAGCGACCTTTCAAAGCACCTTCAGTTTTTTATACAAAAAATCGGCTATTCAATTACATATGGCTATGTAAAGTTTGGCAGTGAAGACAGTGAAGGGTACGCAATCAGAGGGTGAAATGATCCTGTACCAGACACGAGTCCGGCAACGAACGTGGTCCCGGGGCTCCATCTCATTTCGGCCAGGGGCTCCATTCGCCGAAATGGAGTTATCTGCCAATTTTTGGACTCCTGCATTGGTAAGCGACCCCTTGGCGTTAATAAGGATCCCTACGCCGATCCCAATGTGTTTCGCGTCGTTACAGGATCAATGATCCGGTCTGACGACCTTCCGCGTCACGAAATTCCTAAAAACTCCGCCGAGGGGTCCGGCTTCTTGAAATTTGGGGAAAAGTTAGTTTTGGCCTTTGCCTCATGCATGGAGGGTACTTTGCCACGCGGGTACACAACCACTGGCCTTTTGAGCTCACAACCATCTGCCCATTTCAGACCAAAGATGGCCATTCCTAGGCCAAAAATTGAGACCAACCTTTTCCAAACCTCTGTTTTCCCGCGTTTCTCAGCGAATATTAGGTCCTTGACTCGAGACGAGCTTTTTGTAAATTTATAACGCAACTTTTCCAGACCTGAGAGAGCTCTCTTTGGGCCTGCGACGGGTCATGTTCCCGACCTGAGACGGATCCTTTTTAGCCTACAATGGGCCCTTTCAAGACCAGAATGGTGCCCCACCATGCTTGTAAGTGACATGGGTATTTTACTTTCTTAAACTGAGCTGTTTCCAACCTAAAATGGCCCTTCGCGGACACGAAACAATTCCTTTTTTCAATTCAGATAGGCTCTTTTCGTCATAACATTCAGATGAGCATTTCGTGTCACAAAATTCCTAAAAGAAATTTGACCCTAAGACGGTCAAAGTACTGTACAAAGTGTACGTGGGCTCTCTACGCTTGCTTTGATAACATAATAAGAAAGTATTGCCGCGTACAGGAGGATTTCTTTTGGCCACCTGAAACTACGGAGGATGAAAGTAGGCAAAAATTTAATGCTGCTTCCACCCCAAAATGATATGATGAGCTGAAGTTTGACCTAGTTCCCCCAAATAAGCCGCAACTGACCCCAAACAGCTTGTCCGTTATCGACGCGAGTGCAGTCCCGTGTCGATCTCTGCAGCAGTTCCCGCGTAAGCATTTTCAATTTACATGCCGATTTCATCACAATGGCCCGCCGCATAAGCTTGCAAAAAACGTGATCATATTCGCCATAAAGTTCACGTAATCAGCCTGTCGGTAAACTGCACCTGTACCCAACAGCTTACTCAAAATCTGTGCGAAGGTTCCCGCTGATCCGGCTACCCCGCAAGGTCACGCCCAGCGGCTATTGGCCATGTCGCATTGAAGTCTTGGCACCAGTGACGTCACTACCACGCACAGAACATTTGAAAACCTGACATATGGCAAAGCCCACACACAGCATCCCTCGCGAAAATGTTGAACCAATAATTGCAACAGATGCGTCAAACTGGATCTCTCATGGTGTGCCAGATATAGTTGATATAGAAGACATGCTCAAGATAAGACTAGGGTAATGGGAAGTGTATGTGTTCAAATTGCTAGCCATGAATCAAAACGTTGTAAATTCAGATTTTTCGGGTAAGAAATAGCTGTCTTCAACCTCGTTATATAGTTTATTTCACTCCATATCTTAGATATGCCGGATCTTTCTACTAAGCTGTAGTACAGTATCTAATTACCCAGTCGCGCTAACTGGCGCAAGCAATGCAAACTCGGCGCAGAATGGTTTGGCTACGGCGTGAGGTGGTTGAATTTTGACGCTTAGTACTTACAATTAGGATTTCTGCGCCGAGTGTGCTGGGGAGCGGGGAGGCCGAAAATACGGGTAACAGCTGTCCTCTGTGCTCGAATTGCCTCTTAGTATTACTTATAGTCCTGTTGTACGCTAACTGCCAGAATAATCTGCCCCGTGCCACTCAGTGGCCCAGCGGATTGACGGGCGTCGGCGTTCTGCTGCCGGTCATTCAACCCCTGCTGGAGCGGACGGCGGGCGACAGTGTCGGCTTGATAAGGTAAATGCACTACAGTTCTTTTTATGAGAGCAGGCTTCCAGTCGAAGTAAATCATATGTTCATGAGCGGTATGGTATGCAGGCAATAGGTCATATGATGCTAGGTTGGTGTGAGTTTAAAGTAGGTACCAGATCTATTGTATCCAGCAAAATGACTACTTGTAGCTGATAGTTCCACTCATACTTGGCTATGGTTGTGCCTGCCAGAGCCAGGGAGACAGAAGATGAGAGGAATGTTGTATTGCTTTGTCAGTTATCATTTTGGTGATAGTCCACATTGCAAATTAACATGGATGACTCCTGATATATGCTTATCTGCACATCAAAGCTGATTATCCACCCCTAGGATTATTTCTCTATTGTGGGGATGCACTATAGAATTGAAAGTGCTCTCTGACTTTGTTGTATGCTGTATTTTGTAGTCATAGACAAGGTCATGGTGGGCTGGGCATACTATGAGGGTGATAGCCAGACATTGCTGGAATCAAGAAAGAATCCCAGGATACAACAAGAGTGAGGTTTTGTGGGATCCTGGATCCACCCTTGCCATCCAGGCACATGTCTGGCAACAGCATGACCCATGAAGGTATCAGCTTCCTTCAAAATCATTTGACCAGATATTGTACAGATATTAGCATATGCAAGTGCAATGCAGGTAAAACTGTCATGATTGTCAAAGAAGCAATGACAATGGGACCACCAAAACAGACAACAAGGAAATATATACCAGAGAGTGAATAATATTTGGGGGCTCACATAATGCATCAGTTGCGAACATAGTATTACCCACATGCACAATGTATCATAAATGTTGTCTGATGCACAACTAAGCTGCATGTTTCTCAACTGATTTTGCAAAGCAGATGCAGCCAATGCTAATGCAGAAGTGAAGATGCACAAATGTTGACTATTGCAACCTTTAACATGGAACCCCTTGGCCTCCCAGATACCAGATAATCAGGCGCATGCTGACAACCAACATGGTTCATGGAGCAAAGCATGAAGTGTTGCAGGATGTAGTAGATAAGGAAATAGCAGGTCACACTTAGCCAATAATTACACTGTGCCCACAGTTCAGTGTTTCTCAAATCAAAGATGGTCCCCCCAGAGTCATTTGGTCTTTACCACCCTCCACCCCCCACAGGCCTCCACCCCCCACAGGCATTAAGGATCCACAAGGATCACAGGCAGTTGGCAGTTAAAGCTGGTGACAACGGTTCCACAACGTCTAAGATGCACCATAGGCTATCGTAAAGCTTGCAATGTATGGGACATTGCCTGCTGCTGGCAACCTTCTGAGGCTGTCATCCCAGCCCAGGCATTGCTTCAGTGTTGCAGATGCAGAGTTGTGCTACTGTTTTTTTTTATTCATTTTTTGAGTTATCCAATTTCCTTATGTTTGATACAATGTTTTTATAGTTTCTACACATGTGCTATTTGTTTCAGCTTATCATGGACACTTTGAATACACTAAGAGAAAAGGTTTCAGCGATTGGTAAGTTTTTTCATCAGATATTGTCTTGCTGTAATACAAAGAACTACCTATGTAATCCATAACAGTTGGTGAAGACCATGTTGCATGTTGCTAAATTAACATGTCAAAAGACTATGTGCACCAGGCATGAAATGTGCGCACATTGTCTATTTTTGGTCATGTGTGCATCATCATATGCACACATTTTTTTCACTCATGCATGCCAAGCAGCATTTTCTGAAACTACGTTTTTATATGATGCACGCATTGGGCCGGACATTAACTCGGAAAGCATGAATGGTGATGGAAACTGGCAGGCTATGCCGAAGTCCGTTACTTTTCGCGTGTTATGCCGTGCGACATAATTGCTGACAGAATGACAGGACTGACCGAACGATTTGCCTGGCAAAATGGCAGTCCAGAGATAATGACAGCATCTGACAAAACAATATTTCGGACCAAGTGGCAATCCTTGACAGTGACATGTCTGACAGGTTCGTAATTTCTGACGAAGTAGTGACCTCTGACACTGGGCATGTCTGATAAGTTAGGAGATCTCGCAGAGTAGCAGTCCCAGGTCATATGATGTCATGTCTGATTGGCATCACCTGCAGCGGGTCGGCAGAAGGACACATCCGACGTCTTCCCTATGTCTGACGTGTTGACTGAACATGTGACACAGTAGCATTCCGTATTGCGCGGGCCTTGTGTCGCGCGGTACCGATGACAGACCCTGACAAATTGACACATCTGACAAGCTGACCTGCTTTGCTTGGACGACTTCTGCTCTTGTCTCGAAAGAAACGTGTTGCCGAAATATCAACCCATCTATATCTCCATTCTCCCGGTTTTTCTCCAAGGAATAAGGCTATTACTTCTGTCTTTTCTAGGCGGCTTTCTGACGAAAATCTGGAGACCTGTCAAAATGACGGATCCTGACGTGTAGACTGACCAGGCAGTCGCGCCCGTAGTGGCAACCGCTGACGAAATGACAGATCCGAGAAAACCACGATGCCTGTCAAACTGTCAGGCGAAGGCGTCAGGCCAGCGTGGACAATTTCCATCGTGAGGAGATAAAACACTGAGATGGCGTGAACTACCACCATGTGATAACGTCGCGTGCTTTGAAAAGCGAGAGGTTGTCGGGAGCATTGATTACGTCAGTGAACGAAGCAGGCTGAAGTATATTGATATGTTGAACCAGACACGACTCCGCCTGCCCGAGATTGCTCTTGGATCAATGAGTCGTCGCCTGGATCACGGCCGGGGCTGGCCGTTTGGGTAAGGCAGGCCGGCGAACTTAAGGCAGAAGGACAGTCGGGATGTGGAAAACAACTGGATGATTCGTGTGGTATTCATGCACTCCCGAAGTGATTAAGTCGTTTGAATCGCACCCGACCGCTTTCACCGTCGCGCTAAGACAAGTCAAAATGCAGCGATACGGCTATACCAGCCAGCCTGCGTAGCATATTGCAGTCTGGTAAATGTTGCCGGTCGTATTTAAATCCCTCAAATCAGGGTCTTTCCGTTAGCTGAACATATGAACACTCAAGCTGCCAGGGTGCTTACGGCTGAAGGCCAAAGTGACGCCACATTTTCGTACCCCTCCATGTATGGATGAGGTGAATAAAGTCAGTTTATGCCGTCCAGATTTACAAACCAGGGCTGTAAAACCATGGATAAAGGTGCTGTAGATGTGATGTTATCTCGCAAGAAGGTATATCGGGTAGGTTCTTCTCCATTGTTGATAGCATTTCTCTCTATTCTTGCATCTTCGCTACAAAAATGTTGATCTTGATCTCTCCCTGTTTTGTACTTCGCTCTTTTATACACTATTATAACTTCTATGCGTCTTCTTTTTACACGTTTGAAGCTTCTTAATCAAGCATATTGAATGGATAAAACCTGCCGACATCTTTTTTAGTTGGATCCAAAACAAGCTGTCGCGCAGTCTCGCGATCTATGTAGCATCTGATCTGTGTCAGTTGTGTCTTCCCACGATGATAGCTCTGTAGCTCTCGGCTGGACATGGACCTGATGGGAGGTGAGCATGAGGCACTGATACCGCAGCTGACTCAGTATCCTGGGTGACCTAAACACCCCGCCTAATGATCAACACAGCCATGATAAACGCTGCCGTGAGCGCGGTGTGCACAGCGTCTCGAAGCGAAGGTTCTACAGCCGAGGGCACAGCGCAAAAGTAGCCATATTTCAGTCGGAAATTTGTTGAGTTTGACTAACCGCCCTTTGAACTTATTAATTTCTCGTCCACGTGTGAGATTTAGAGAATCGTTTGATATGCTGAGTTCATTTGATTTTATCTGAGACATTCAATGCAATGCGTCTGATTTTTCGTTGGATGGGTTGCGGCTGTTCTGGTAAGAATACATTTTGGATAGCAGAGCCTATTTTTGCAACACGAAATTATGAGCGTGTGTGCTTTAGAAGGATGTCGTGTAATGACATGGGCAAAACACAGTTCAAGTTCGCTTTAGCCTGTGATTAGTAAGTCATTCGTGGATATAGCTTTCCAATAAGCGTCGTGGCTTATTGCGAGTGGCCACACAATCATAGTGCGGTTAAAAGCGCATTGGTTCGAAGTTTTGTGTGAGCACCCTCAGGTGAAGCGCTGTTGAATGTTGGGCTTTGAGATCACCGACTGAATGGCAAAAGTTCGCGGAGCGGGAGTAAAGCAATGAAGACTGAACTTGGGGAGTTTTCAAAAGCTTAAAAACTGCATTTGTTGTATGACCTGTAGAAGTAGGCGTCATGCCACATCCCTCTGCAGCCAACAGCCACTGCCCAGCCACTATTTTGCCTGGTGGCGGGAAGAGCGGGAACAATTTAACTGGGAATATGATAGTAAATACCTTGTGTATGTTGGTGTCAGAACAATATAATTTCATCATTTGTAGTCTGAGCGTCTCATTCAGCGTGTCACATAAAAAGGAACGTGGCGCTTTGGAGTCAGAGTGTAGAGCTAACCGTTCTGGATGGCGTAAACGACTACAAAGCGATATTGCCAACCGTAGTCCTGCGAGCACGGACGGAGAATGTCGGCCGCAGCTGGTGTGGCCAGGCGGCCAGATTCAGCACGTTCCAAATGTCGATGTCGAACATTGTGCGACTGTTAGCGCTCAGCCAGCGCATTGACAAATGACGCGAAATTTATATGCAGGCGTGCGCGTACGACACATTGCTTGCGTACAATGCTATAGATATGGCGGTTGAACACATGGATGGATTTTTTCAACACAGTACAGGCGCCTCCCCGTCGGCCGCATGGTGGTGAGCCTGTCGACACCTAGACCCTCACCCCTACTCACGCGACGCCACGACGCACGCGTGTACCATCGCTGGGCCTCTTTGATGACAATAATTGTCCTGCACACCTGCGGCAGCGACAGTTGTGGGTTCTAAATGTGCTCTCGTGACGTCACGGACCACCCCCGGTGGAAGAAGGGTTGTTCGTATGCCCACTGCGCCTTATGCTTTCGTTACAGCCCGTTTTTGCAGCTCGCTGTACATGTGGCAGGCATTGGCGACATTAGAACGTCCAAATGGCGTTTTCATTGTTCGGTATGAGCCACTTGTGTTTTCAACACTTGCTTAGGTCCATCATCCCAACGTTTTCTGGAATGAATTGGATCGATTACACCCACTACAGCACAATGCTCGAAAGGTTCTGAGGCATTCCCCTATCTGTAGTGCTTTGAGACGTCCTTTTGGTATCATGTCTGCAAGTGTACAGCTGAAGATCGCAGGCAGCTGGCTATTAACTGTTAGGGAATGGTTTTGACGTCGCGTTTTGCTGAGTGAAGTTAAATGACTTCAAGCTTGCTGGAGATGCGACGAAACGCACCACAAATATTTCTTTGAAGGCAGAGTCCCCTACCAAGCATAATTTGTTGCGGGAACCAAGACCACCATCCCAGTGGAACAGTTCCAGTTCACGAGGATAATTGTCCCGGAACGACCGCACCACGCTGTCGCGGCGCTGGCGCCCGTTTTAGCGCGGCGCTGCGCCAGTTTTCAGTTGACCGTCAAAGACGAGCCAAACGCGTGCGTTTCTAGGGCACGAAGCCACATGTCTGTCGCACATCTCTAAACGTCTATGCTTTACCAGCTGATCTGCAGGGACAACCCCAGCTCAGGTGCAAGTGTTCAAACTACGACCGGGCAGAAAAACCACCGTCGAGGCCACGCGCAGCGCGCAATGTTACGTCGTAACGAAAGGGGCGTGGTCTGTGTCGTGACGTCACGCGTCGACGACGCACCTCCAAATCGATGGTAGCCCGGCTTCGGATTGGTCCAGGGGCGTCGGGCCACTAACCAGCTGACTGTATCGATTTTGCCGGGAGTCGCGCTAAGGTCCACACTCGCGTGCAACCCTATGGAGAGATAGACTGTTTGGAAGGCTGTCAATCCCGCGGGCGTTTGGTCCTTGATTCGAAGCGCTGTCTACACGTGAATACCACCAGGACCGGCTTCTCGTAAGGTCAGTGTGTGAGAAGCTCTTGCCGCCAGCTAGGTGGGCGCTGAGAAAGCCTGCCAGGGAAAAGCCGTTCATTTTTGACAGAGGTCTGTCGTGCAACTTGTGTGCCGCATGCGCTGTACTTATGTTGGGCCTGTGGTAACTGTTCACTGTGCTGTTTTCCTACCTTTCGCGACATTGAGTCTGTTGACGCGGCGTTCTGCGGTGTGTGCAAGTCATGTCGATTGTAGGAAGGTCAGCTGAGCAGGTTTGCACGTATCGTGGAGGTATTGCCAAGCCGGGTTTGGGGCGGGGGCAGCAGCGTCCAAACCTACGTGGGCATGGCCATGGGCTCCGCCACAGAGGAGTAGGGGAGGTGCAAGTGCCCCAAGTTAGGAATGACTTAACCTGACGCAAATGAATACTGCTTCGGAAAAATCTTAAAACCTCGGTGTTCCCCAAGTTAAAATTCGTGGGGAGGGGCCCTTGGCCCAGTTCACTATTCCAGACCTGACGGAAAATGGGCACAGGGCTGGTAGTAAGGGGC